AGACACAATTCAAATGGAATGGATTAGATTAAAGGTTGTGTGTCGGAATGGCCCAGTCAAAGTCCGGACTAATACAGTCTGACTAAGCGAGATGTTTTCAAAGAAAGAAAAGGAAAAATTACTACTCTACTACAACTCTATTACTTTATGTGTGAAGCTGATATAGGCATACAACAGCATCATAAAAAAAATATAAAATTTTCTTTCTGCTTTACAACTATCACTACTTTTTGTTAATAGATCACATATAATCATTTTAATGTAGGTTTAGGGAGCTAAGTGGTTTTGCCAAAAAATAAAATAAAATAAACAGACTGAACATATGGTAACATTTCTGTCCTAAAAACGAAAGATTTTTGAAATGACATAAGTGCATGAAAATATGGCGTCAATCAAATCTATGCTACTGAAAAAGCAAATGTAATTATTTTCCAGGTTTTTAACGGATAATTGAGATTCATATAAAATATTGAGGTTCGATTTTTACGCTGTCTCAGTATCCAGTGTTTACTTGGAACAAGTCAAAAACAATTTATCGCTAAAAAATAGAAATCACTTTTCATATTATATACATATATGCAACCTTTTACATTGCTTCATACACACACACTCTTTAATTCAGTTGGCAGGATCTCTGTTTCTGGCTACATTTAAGCTGTTTTATTATGTTGGGTTTGTTTTCGTTTCCTTTATGATACCTTTGATCATCAATAAATGTGGAAATCATCTTGATGTGTGTGGATTATGCTATGACTGTCTTTGACTGACCAAATTTCCCTCTGTAAGAGGGGGAAAAAAAACCCAGAGTGAACTGAATCGACTCTGACAAAAGCGTCAGCTGGGGTTGCGATGGCAGCCAACAACAAACTACACAGCTATCCAGGATTTTCTGCATCATCCTTTCCACCCCATTCATTCGCTTTCCAACTTTTGGAAAACAGACATTTCCTGGCACACGGCGACTCTACCAGCTTTCCCTTTTTCTTGCCCCACCTTAACACTGTGAGATCGTGGAAAAAAGGATGTGGTGTGAAGAAAAATGGAAGGAGCCAAAGTGATACTAAGAGCCTCTCTAAAGTATAAGCAAACTGAGCTGCTTCTTAAGGAGCCAAATTTCTTCTCCAAGACACTATTGGATTCCTAATCTGTTGTTTGCATTCATATTCATCGAGACAAAGCTGTCACGACTCAGAACAGAGAACCCAATATTCTGGCCAGACAGACAATGTAATAACTTCAAAAGCATTTATTCAAAAACAATGGTTCTGCAGATCTGCAGTGGCTGCAGCTAGGGCGTCAGAGGCAGGAAACTTTGGGGAGAGGAAACACGGGTTAGTGACCACGTAAATCTAATGGGGGAATATTATGAACATGAGTCACAAACCTGGTTAGTGCAGCAAGCGCCTCCCAGGCAGGAGTCCGGACACAGGTCAGACAAACAGATCAGAACAGGAACAGGAAGGCCCAGAGGTCCAGGAGTCTGAAGCCAGGTCAGGCAAACAGATCAGAACAGGAACAGGAAGGCTCAGAGGTCCAGGAGTCTGAAGCCAGGTCAGGCAAACAGATCAGAACATGAACATACTCTATGGTTGAGATGCAGGATCAGAAATCAGAAACACTAAGAAACTCAAAAAACACTCTAACCACTGGCTAGAGAGAACAAGAATAATCTGGCTCTGATGACTCGGTACAAGCCCCTTAAATAGAGGCAGGAGCAGGTGGATCAGATGAGCAGTGATGAGAAACCAGGCAGAGTTAGACATGTGAATGGAATGAGCCAAGATCAGTGCCAAGATCATGAATTAAAGGGACATTTTAATTAGCTAGATTTTTGAGTAAGATGAAAGAACTTTATCTTTAAAGCATCAAAAATGTATGAAAATATTACCAGTTAACATAATCATAGATAACTTTATGTCTTAAATTCAGTTGATAGGGTCAATTTAAAACTACTACAGTAATACTTTGTGTATGTCACTATGCAATGCCCTTTTTTCAGCAAATGTACATTTCTGTCAGCACAAAATGTAAAATTTTAACATATAGTTACAGTATAATCAGAGATGCATGTCAAACATTGATTCCTGTGACTATAATGAGCCCAGTTTACAGTTAATAAAACATATAATCCGGTTTCTTAGAAAAATGTGAAATGATACATCATCTTTAACAAAACAAGATTATGAAAACAGAAATGTTATCTTAGAGCTATTCACTGTGTTCTCTGTCATAGCATGTTAAAAGAATAGTCACAGGGATAACTGCAGCTTTGGGAGGATACCAAAGGTTTCTCTCACTTTTAAAAGCTGCCGCACACAGTGATGTACCCTTCTGCTGCTGAATTCTTTTGTTCAGCCAGTACCGAATGTTCTATTAAGTGATAAAACTAGATTAACTTTTAGTAATATTAAGGGGATGACTGGCTATCAGGAGCACCGTGACAATTCTCAGTGGCTGCAGATCAGGCAGCACAAATGGCTGTGTTTGAGTTATTTAAAATACGATTTTTTAAAACAAATAATCAATGCCATTTATGCAATTACTCTTGCATCTTGCTTGCTGAATCCCACACAGTCTGAGCAGAAAAGATTAGGAAAAAGACACACCTTTGCCCTTTTCTTTCCTCCTCTGAGACTGTCTGTTGGGTATGAAATAAAAACTAGCATTAAAATTGAAAACAAGTACACAGCCTATCAAGAACAACAAAGGTTAGTTTCCTTTAAAACAACCAAAGGAGTCCAAAACTAACTTTTATCTAACAAATACCTTGTTTTTACAAAGCATAATGCGGATATTAGAATGTGATTAAAGTGCAGGATCTTTAAAAAAGTATACAAAATCTGTTTAATGCTACAGAGTTGGGATTGTTTTGTACACTACATGAACTCCACTGAAAATATTATATGAATATCAAAATACGGTATTAATTTCGACTAAACCAGGTAAGATTCTGTAAAGATTTAGAAAATATGTGTTATATGAACATTACCAGTAAAAATAAAAAGTCAATTGTGAATTTAAGCCGAGGGGAAATTCTGGATGGCTTTTTTTTTATTAACAAAGTTGGAGAAGAAAGCAGAGTGAGGATAGTGAGAAGCATAGCAGGAGCTCCGGCTGTCAGGCCCATGGATGGACAATGGGAATCTTCAGGTACACTTTCAGTGCACAACATCATTTCATTATACAGATTTTCAAAGGGGGCGCAGTGTTGTTTTCATAGGGGCTGATTATGAAACGATAAATACAAAAACACAGATCATAGTTAAGTATATTAAGTTAGCCACCAAGCTAAGGTTGTAGACCACTGATCTAGCAGATTAAATCTGGGATTCGATCATAATATTACTAAAGCTTAAAGTGACACGCCTTCGTTTCTAAACAACAGTTGAAGTAAACAGTAAAGGTAAAAGATTATATTGGATCAAGCAACCAGTCAGTTAGTCTATTCTGTTAATTTATTTATTTTATTTTTATTTATTTTTTAGTAAAGCCGTCACAACAAGGGCCAGTGCCTGACGGCCAGTGCCTGTCAAACTGCCCCGTCAAACAGGCACTGGCCCCTTTCTATAACCTCCCATAACTGAAGCAGCACTCAGAGCCGCCTTGAAGAAGAATGTTGAAGATGATGTTGAAGAGAGTTAGAGGTGGGGCCTGGGGTTTTTGTTTAAATCAAACAATCTCATTCCATAAGGGATGAACCTGTGGTGGAACATAGCTATTTCGCTCTGCAGACTTTATAGCTTCTTAGTTGACCTCAGAGGCAAGAGCAATTCATGTTGCTATTTAGAGATGCTGCTAATAGTTTCTGGGCTCTGGTCAGCATCTTTAGCATTATCTCAAACTTAGAGTGTTCTGAAAGGTTTCAGGACAATACTTTTAGAATAATGTGTAATTTACTCATGGTGATCTGTATACTATCAACTTTACAAATATAGATTAGGGCTCCATGGTGGAGCAGTGATGTTGCCTTGCAGCAAGGAAGTTCCAGGTTCTAGTTGGGGATGTTTCTGCAAGAAGCTTGGATGTTCTCCCTTTTCATGTGTGGGTTCTCTGTAGGAACTCTGGCTTCCTCCCACAGTTCAGAAACATTGTTGAGTTAATTGGCTTCTCTAAATACTCCTTAGGTGTGTGTGTGCATGGTTATGGGTCTCTGAGTTGCCCTGGGGCAGACTGGTGCCGGACGTAGGCACTGCCCCCCACCCACCTGACCCTGATAGAATCAGTGAAAGAAGATGGATGGATGGTATTTTGTATTTTAATTCCAATTAGTGAATAGGTGTGTGTTAATGGAGTTGTGGTTGCCTGAGGGTTTTGAAATTGTTGTCTAATATTGTTTCCAACTCTGCAAATGATATTTTAACTTATTTTGTTGAGACTGTTTTTTGTTTTTTGTGATAAGGGTTCAACATCGAAACAATGAGGGTGCTGCAGTGGTGGGCCTCCTAATCAAAGTCGAACAGAATGTAAAGAATCAGGAGAATCTAAAAAATTTATTTAATCTAAGACTGAAGATCAGGCTTTTAGATCAGGCTGGGGTCAGTGTGGTGTGCGCGTACGTGCGCAGGGTGCGCGTCACGGTGAAGGGCGGTCGCTATTAACGCATTGTCATACCTGCAGCCACAGTCCTTTCACGGCACCACTTGCGCTTTTCAGACTAATCTGGCAACACAAAGGAGCGTCTCACAGTTGTCTCCACTCATTCCTAATGATATGCAAACTGGGTTTCAACCCAGGAGTCAAATGCAGCTCATTAGGGGAGTGGTAGAGTTGAAAGTGAGCACAGAGGAATTAGTTGGAGGGAAGTTCATCACTTTGATGGAGTCTAAAGAGATGAGCGCACCACTTTCTGCGCTTAGAAAGATCTGTAACCCCCCCTCCTTTACTTGTTAGTAACTCCATGAGTCTGCAGCTGCTCCTTATCAGGTGGGGAAGCGCAGCAGAGTGGATGTGGATGGGGGGTGGAGCCACCTCAGAGTTACCCATTCCTAAAGCTTGAATCACACAGCTCTCCATTCACATTCCTGCTGGGAGCTGCGTCCTGCGCGTCGGAAGGAGCTGGAAGTTGGGAAAACTTTGAATATAACCAGATATACAAATGGATATATTGCTTTGCAAAATGAAAAAAGGACATTTCCGAACAACTGTATAGCGTTTTTTTTTTCTTTTACTTTTTTTTTTTGCCCATTCTGGATTTATTATGCGGACTTTGTACTGAGAGCGGGTGGATCTGAGCGGATATCAGGACCCTGACGTTTCAACATGATATTAACACGTAAGTCGGTGAAACCAACGGTTCTAATGGCTTACCTTTACATTTTTAACTTGTATTACTTTTTGCCATTTCCCAGTTTCCTGTGTTTTCTGTCATTGAAATGTGACCTTTCTATACATATTTACAGTTATGTCTATGTCACAGTTTTCTAGAATCCGACCCTTGCGCATAAGTTTCCTTCTTGCCGTCTAGAAGGCGCATTACGCTGCAGGCTGTCAGATAAGAAATCTGCCCCCTTCTTGTCGCATACCTTCACGTCCCCAGTCCTGTTTACAATCCACTGAATATCCTGGGGTTTTGTTTACCTGATAACCTTTTCCAACCTACACAAAGACACACAAACATAAGCAGAAACACACATGTCAGAGATGCCTCTCTACCCTGATAGAAATCTTCTCCAGGTCCTCCCTTTCTTTCTTTTTTTTAATACACACAGCAGCCAGAAAATAAGTTTCCAGCAGAGATCAGCGCCACTGAGTTCAGTTGGAAGTTTCTGCCTTAAAGATGCTGTAATTTTTCCATTTACCAATACATTTATACAAAAACGGAACGAACTACGTAATTCACTGTATGATTTCACACAAAAAGCTTTTTTTTTTTTTAAGCAAGTGTCCTAAAGAAAAATAAATATCCTGCCTCTTTGAGATTATATCACAAGAAAGACAATAATCAGGCATGAAATCAGTAATTTGACTGACAGCAAAGCAATGAAGTGGAAAGTCCTGAAGAAGAATAGGAACCTATCCCAAATAAACTCATTAAAATATGTTTATCTTTTCTTTTGTTGCATAGATTTTGCTTGATTTGATAATTAAAATAAACTACAATGGCAATGATATGTTCTGTTCAAACCATGTTTAGTTTAACAGAAAAGCACTTGGTTTAGCTGATGGTAAAGATTTAGTTCTTCAATAACCTGATACACAATCTCTTCTCATTGTTCTATGTTAGGCACAATACGTCCCTTAAATTATAGTAGAAATCTTTGTTCTCAGTGCTTATAGCTCTCTCAGCTGGTTGTGCCTTTTGACCTTGTGTCACAGCTGTATGGAATCCTGTTTTCAGTTTTTTCTTTTCTCCTGACTGGAATTTTTTTTTTTTTTTTTTACTTTTCTCCGGTCTTTACTTTTGTCCCAACAGTTGTGTCTGTTCCAGGATAACAGCTTCTTATCAGTCACGAACGTCAGGGTCAGATATGAGCTCAGAAAGGTTCACTTAAACCATAAAGCCGTTAGGAACGTGCTCTGAGGCACACACACCACACCAACACAGGTCCATCTATCCTGATCCAATGTAGAGATACTGAAGATATCAATGGTTTGATTGTTTAGTTTTGGCTTAATTGACTCGGGAGATTTAACTAAAATCTGAAGAGAATTTAGTTTCTAAGAGAAGCTGAAGTAGGAAGCACGCCTCATCTGCACTCTGTGAAACAGGAAGTGAGCTGTTACCTTATCTGGGATATTTACATCCTGCTTGGGTCTGTGTGCCAGGCGAGTGTAACCATATGTTCAGCTTTTACTTTCCTTGTGAACGTCTTTGAATGTTTATGGGATGGAAGATCATCATCTGGCAGGAGAAAGCTCTGCTGAGGGTTTGGAGAAGGCCTGGTCACCTGATCTAGGGACCAAGGGCTTCTTTGAGAGCATAAATCTGTCATCAGGGCCACAGGGGCCTTTGGGGTTAGCGAAGCGATGATCCATCTGGGCCAGCTGTGTGGTTTGCATGTGTATGTTCCTGTGGATCTACGCCTGCGTTCCTGCAACAGCTGGTGGTAAATAACTTAAATGGTTGATGTGAGTAACCTAATTTTTTTCTTCGCTTTGTCCATGTGTGTTGAAGAGGCAACGCTTGAGGCCAACCAGATGGTGATTTCTCTGCCACCATATCACTTAGCTGACAAGCAGACCCTCTCCATGAACACCAACTGTCTCTGAATGGAAATCACAAAACATGATACCCAGCAGGAGAGAGAAAATCTGTTGTACATATTTAGATTTCAGTGCACATCTTGCTTACATCAACTCCAGTGTCCAGCTGTGCCTTCCTTTCTTGCACCCAGTGGTTGAGACTCCAAGTCATAGGTTTCATTCTTTCTACTATAAAACATACAGGTGCTGGTCATAAAATTAGAATATCATGAAAAAGTAGATTGATTTCAGTAATTCCATTTAAAAAGTGAAACTTGTATATTATATTCATACATTACATACAAACTCATATATTTCAGATGTTTATTTTGTTTAATTTTGATGATTACAAATGACAACAAATGAAAATCTCAAATTCATCATATCAGAAAATTAGAATATTGTGAAAAGGTTCAAAATTGATGGCCCCTGGTGCCACACTCTAATCAGCTAATTAACTCAAACCACCTGCAAAAGCCTTTAAATGGTCTTTCAGTCTAGTTCTAGAGGCTACACAATCATGGGGAAGACTGCTGACTTGACAGTTGTCCAAAAGACGACCATCGACACCTTGCACAAGGAGGGCAAGACACAAAAGGTCATCGCTAAAGAGGCTGGCTGTTCACAGAGCTCAGTGTCCAAGCACATTAATAGAGAGGCGAAGGGAAGGAAAAGATGTGGTCGAAAAAAGTGTACAAGCAAGAGAGATAACCGCACCCTGGAGAGGATTGTGAAACAAAACCCATTCAAAAATGTGGGGGAGATTCACAAAGAGTGGACTGCAGCTGGAGTGAGTGCTTCAAGAACCACCACACACAGACGTATGAAAGACATGGGTTTCTGCTGTCGCATTCCTTGTGTCAAGCCACTCTTGAACCACAGACAGCGTCAGAAGCGTCTTGCCTGGGCTAAAGAGAAACAGGACTGGACTGCTGGTGAGTGGTCCAAAGTCATGTTCTCTGATGAAAGTAAATTTTGCATTTCCTTTGGAAATCAAGGTCCCAGAGTCTGGAGGAAAAGAAGAGAGGCACTTCATCCACGTTGCTTGAAGTCCAGTGTAAAGTTTCCACAGTCAGTGATGGTTTGGGGTGCCATGTCATCTGCTGGTGTTGGTCCATTGTGTTTTCTGAGGTCCAGGGTCAACGCAGCCACATACCAGGAAGTTTTAGAGCACTTCATGCTTCCTGCAGCTGACCAACTTTTTGGAGATGCAGATTTCATTTTCCAACAGGACTTGGCACCTGCACACAGTGCCAAAGCTACCAGTACCTGGTTGAAGGACCATGGTATCCCTGTTCTTAATTGGCCAGCAAACTCTCCTGACCTTAACCCCATAGAAAATCTATGGGGTATTGTGAAGAAGAAGATGCAATACACCAGACCCAACAATTCAGAAGAGCTAAAAGCCACTATTAGAGCAACCTGGGCTATCATAACACCTGAGCAGTGCCACAGACTGATCGACTCCATGCCACGCCGCATTGCTGCAGTAATACAGGCCAAAGGAGGCCCAACTAAATACTGAGTGCTGTACATGCTCATACTTTTCATGTTCATACTTTTCAGTTGGCCAACATTTCTAGAAATCCTTTGTTTTTATTGGTCTTCAGTAATATTCTAATTTTCTGATATGATGAATTTGAGATTTCATTTGTTGTCATTTGTAATCATCAAAATTAAACAAAATAAACATCTGAAATATATGAGTTTGTATGTAATGTATGAATATAATATACAAGTTTCACTTTTTAAATGGAATTACTGAAATCAATCTACTTTTTCATGATATTCTAATTTTATGACCAGCACCTGTAAATCCAGACAAACAAACTGGCCTCCTTGTGGCTTTTCTTTTTGCTTGCAACACCTCTGTCAGAGACACGTTTATCACCCTACCTGCCCAGACCCACTTTGCAGCTCTTTCAAAATGACCTACTCAGACCTGATGTTGATAAGAACGCTTACGACTGCCCTTCGGGGTTTCTTTACAGTCGCCCCTTCGGAAACCCGCCAATGATCAAGCAATTTCAGATAAGCTACCGCAGTTCACAACAGAGGTCACCTAAAACATTCTCCTCAATCTGCAGCTTCAAAGGACTAGTGGTAAAGATAACTGTATTCAGACTCTTGACCTCCAGTTTGCCATGGCAGAGCCTTTTAAGGTGGGGGACTGTGAGCAGCATCCTTTGTTTGCGCATTGCTGACAAACTCCCTCTGGAGCTGAGCATTCAGAGCCAGTCTAGCCAGACCCCATTGCCTCCCGCGATAGAGGGAAGCTGTGGCCGGCAATTGTGAGAATTTCCTGCCTCCGGAAGGGAGACAAGAGAGGAGAAGGGGCCAGCAGAGTCGAAATAAGCAAAAGACAACACAGGGTAAGAGGAGGCAAAAAGAAAGAGCAACCACAATGGATAATTTTAGAAGTTGATACAGTCATCAGCAGTGGATGTTTTGAATTTGATATACGATCTCTGTCTGCAGTGTTTGAATAAACACCTCTCATATGAGTTGTTTGCATATTTTATAATAATGATCCTTCTCAGCTGATTCTCCTAGGCATATCAACCTGAGGTGATTTAAGGCTGGAAAAAACTCCAACTAAAAGGGTTTTTCTAGATCAGTCTTTGCAGAATAGAGGTTTGATGAAGCAATCTGCCAAAATTGTATAAACATTGTTAACAATGACCTTATTGCTGCTGACATGGTGCTGTAGGCTCTTCAGTTGTGGCCAAATATCCGCTGGCTGACAGGGAGGTTCCAGGCATCCTGTTTGGCCCCTCAGAAACACAGGCTGTTTTGTGGTCTGTAACTTAAAATTTTTTGGTCTAGATTTGTTTTTTAACTTTAGATTCTGAAGAAAAGTTTGTCATGTTGCTTTTGTGATTTGGAAGTTTCACACCACTGATTTTCCTCCTTTAACAAAAAACTTGAAGTCAAGGATGTAAAATCGTTTGTTAAGATGTATCTAATTGTGCTGTTTGACAGAAAAAGAATGTGGTTTTAATATCCACGGCATATTGAATACTCCATTACAATTGGTTTCAGGACTTGATTCAGTACTGATTTCTTTTTGTAATCTGGATTTACTATGCTTCTAAAGATGAACAGGAGTTGCTAAAGCTTCGCTCTAATTGTGGATTAGCCCAGTGTTTGACCCTCATTGCCGTCACAGTTTAAGCTCTAAGTGTGTGCTCTAACACATTCGTCCGGTGTGGCTTTGTTTCTGTCTTTAACCGCAACGAGGTTTTCTTTTTGTGCACACAATCACCGGAGCTCATGTTTGCCTTGGCTGCCTCTCCACCTATTATCTGGCCAGGAACAAATGAAGGCAGGGCCCTTCCAGCCAAGTGGTCGGTCAGTGGCCGTGGCACTTCATAGCAGTTCTCTTCCTGTGTGGGAAGCGGGAAGGGGAAGTGAAGTAGTTTCCCTGGTGAGGGCTTGGGATGGATATTTGGTAGCAAAATAAAATTAAAAGCAACATGTCAGACAGTTGGCTGGGGTAGTTGGTAAGGGTGGTGGAAGGTCCTTTGGTTGCAGTGATGAGTCTTGCTTCGCTAGGTGCTTTTCAAGCATGCGTAGAGCAGCTCTATTGTTTAGTTGTTTGTTCCAGATGCCTCATAGCCCCGTCTAGTTCCTGGGGCCAAACAAAAACTAAACACAAAGCTCTGCTTCATATTTGGAAGTTTTCTTGACAGATTATTCAGCTTAATGTCTCCTCAGCTTGGAAAATCATGTAATATTACTTGAAATAGATTTGATATACATGCTAAGCCAGCAGATGTCTGCGGATAGGTAGCCACAAAAACAGCTCACTGGATCCCATATTTGTTTATTTTATTCTGGATCTTTTGGTTAGGACGTTTTCAGTTTGTTTGAATGTCTAATTTGCATTTCAGTAGCCTTCCTGCGTTCACAGTGATTTGTCCCTAAACATGTGGTTGGTTTTTGCAAACATAGGGATTGGCTTTTGCACACATAAATGGCAACCGATTCACAAGCACAGGAATCTCTAGCCATCATTTTGAGGAATATGGGTATAATTACTGCTTGGTTTCTATTTTTCTTTGAGTTTACTATGCTCTAAAAATACAGAACTAAGCAGGCACACATTCTTTTTTTTTTTTTGAGACATGTCATTTTATGGTCATAAGGGAACAGAGGAAGGTTCTCAAACGGTCAGTTTGTTGAACGTTCCAGAAGCTGTCTGCCCCTGCAGTGACAGAGGAGAAAATTTGTTGTGGTCGTGTCACACCTTGTTGTTATAGAGGTTATCTGCCGTCTAGGCTTGTTGTTGGTATGTAAATGCTAGCATAATGTGTAGACTAGACCTTTCACAGGATTCCTCTCTGTCTGTCTGAGGGTTTTATAGTTAAATCATTTGTTTACAAGAAACAAATGTTAATGCTGATTTGTAAACACACCTGTCTGCCACTGTTTTCTGAATTCATTTCTTTATTATTCCTAGTAGAAAGTTGTTAACACGGTAAGAAAACTGAAAAATAATATATAAGCCATGCTTAAAAAAACTGCAGAAGCTAAATGCAAACAAAGCCTAACTTTCTACTGTCGGTCATCATTTTTGTTTTCCTGCCTTTGTTGTGCCACATTTGTGCTCTCTGTCCAGTCGCCACAGTGATAATTTACGTAAAGTCAGTGTTCAAAGGCCTTAAAGCTGTTTTTTTTTTTCTCTTTCTCCAAGAGCTTGCCTATACAGACCTGATGGGGTGTTGGTGGCCATTTGGCATATATCATTTAAAAGGCTTTCGCACATAATTGGGAGACTGTCCCAGGCTCCTCTGACACACAGAGAACCTCTGCATTCAGTCACATCACTTAGCATAGCGAGTCTGAATGTCACACCCTGTCTTTAAAGGCACTTTTGAAAGAGTTTGTTTGGCAGTGTGGTAAATACGCTAGGTAGCAGAAAGAGAGTTAAAAGCAACATGCCTGATTTTATATAATTTATTTAGTATATTATAATTCTTTTCAATAGAGGGAAGTCTTTAAAGTCTTTATTCTTTCTTTCTTCCATGGCTTCATCATCAGAGGCTTGTAAGCAGCACAGTTACATGTTTTCAAAGTAATTTTCCCATTTTATACCTAATTTTTTTCCATTTCTATCTCCTTTCTGTGCTTGTAAATGCAGAGTCTTGTTTCACTCAAGTACTTACAGAAATTGTCATGGCTAACTTAATTTAATAGTTTATTTTGAATTATCCCTTTTTTTCTCCCTCATGACCTCTGAAGAAACAAAATAACTTTAAGAAACAACCGTCTGGTGGATTTCATATATTGGAGTCACATTACTACAATTCCCTACAGTTATTATAGCTACTAAATATCCGTATGTAGTTTGTTCCATTCTGTGACACAGGAAGTCAGCTGTTATTGCTTATGATAGTCAGCGCCGCACAAATAGGCAAATCCAACTGGTTTATCAACTACTAACAAGGACATGCTAAACATAGGCATGGCATTTTTCTGTTGCGATTTCAGATTTGTATCAAATACTACTTAAGGAGGCCTGATGGGATGGGGTGGAGATGTTTTTCCGTAAATCGTCCAAATCTAACATTTAATAAAATAATCATGGTCAGGCTTGGTTTATTTATTTTTTTTTTACCTTTTTTATGTTGATATTATGTGTTTTCTTATCATCTTTGTTATATTATCCATTATTGTTCTATTCTGACGTATTTCTACTGGTCCTGTGCCTCTGTTTTTTAGAGATCGAAGCCAAAGAGGCCTGCACCTGGCTCAGAGCTGCGGGGTTCCCACAATATGCCCAGCTTTATGAAGGTAAAAAACACGTTGAGAAACTTAAAACACCCAAAGCATGCTAAACGGATGCAATCAGTTGTCCTTTCTGTGATAATCTCATATTTCTGTCATTTTCTCTCTCTGTCATTTTAATTGAATGGATGGAATGTTGGAACAGTAGAAACGCCTTGGTTTTCCTTGATAAGAAAAACCGCCCCTTGCTCAGTCCAGAGTGTTTTATTTTTATGTAATCGTACAGCACTCACACACCCTTCTACGTGTTCTTTGTTTGAAACACAAAGGATCAGCATTCACATATGCATCTGTGCAGACACACACTCTTTGCATAGTATAACATTCCTCCTCAGTGTTTCCTAGCAGCAGCTCTTTTCTCTCCTAACGTACAAATGAAAGGAAGGAATTCCATCCATACATTAGTGTGCTCCACATTTCAAACATATTGTGTACAGTTACTGCTGAGAACCAAAACACTTGCCTCGTAAACACACCCAAAATCGAACAAACGGCCCCATTGCCGGCTCCGGTTGAGCTTTAAAATACAGCCTAACCAAAGCATATCCAGCAGTTTATGTAGCATACCATTTGCCTTTATGTAATTACATAATGATGACAGAAGAGCTAAGCTTCGCCTATCAACGGGTCGCTGCAAGTTTGCACCTAACCGTGAAAGGGTTTCTATTTGAATTGAATGGCTATTGTGTTTCTATGCAGCTGTTGGGGACCTTTTTATGCATTAATTAACAGAAAAAACAAACATTTTAGGGTAGAGTCACCTCATATGTTGCTGTCATCTTTACTTAAGAGGAACAACAGTACTCATCATGCAGTGCTCATTTTTGTCCCCTTGTGTCTGTGTGGAAGGATCTGGATTATCTGTGCGGTCATGAGTATTGCCCCACTAAAGATAAACAGACTGATAGAGCAGCTTCAATCAGCACCAGTAGGTTAAAGATTCTAGTCTTAAATGTCTGGCACTTTCCTATCATGGCCCTGAAGAATGTAGATCCAAAAACCCTGTTTGGGTTGCACTACAAAAAAAAAAAAAAAAAAAAGTAAATCTTCTTAAAATATGAACCATTTCTCTTGATTAAAACAGGTAAGTGAGATTCTTAGCGGGGTTTTTTTTTCTTATTTTAAATGTAAATTGCCTTATTCCATTGGCAGTCAACTGCACGATATCCATCTTATTTTATGCTTATTTTAGTACCGGTAAGTAAAAATGCTAATTCCATTGGCAGATCATGTTATTTAACTGAAATTAGAGATCTCAAATCTCAAATTAAGGGTAAATACACTTAATTTAAGACATTTTTACTCATTTTTAGATTATTTTTGCAAAGTATTGACAACACATTCCATCATCAACAACTTAAGATGCCTTCCATCCTCAGCAGAACTCGTTAACTAAAAGAAAACAAGTGTTTTCAGTTCTAAGGCATTGTGCTTATACTGTACCAGTGGACTGCTTACTTGAAGAAGTGGTCCTGTTACTGAGGAGCAGAGAGGGAAGTAGCAGCAATGAAGTACCTATTGTCATTCTTCAATCAATCCCCTGTTCGCTCCCCCTGAGCTCCACATCCCCCCTGCCTGCACGGCCTGAAAGCTGCAGCTGTGTTTGTTTGGTCGGCTAAGACGCCACTTCCTTTTTTTAGCTTTTCATCAAGGTTGGCCGGGGGGGTGGGAGTAGCTAGGTGTTTGAGCAGGTGGCTGTCTTTGGGACGGTAACTTCAGTTTTATCTCAACATGCTGATTGAATCAGGAGCAGAGAAATGCCAACACTGAAAAGAAACTCCCACCTCCTTTATTTTTCTTTCAGATTCCCAGTTTCCGATTAACATATCCTCAGTCACCAGAGACCACGACTTCCTTGATCGAGATGCTATTGAGGCTCTCTGCAGGTGAGATAACCCCTACCTAAGCCTTTTCCCTGATGGTATAGGTGCTTTTTATGTTTCTGTGATGTTATGTTATGGCCCTTATTTAAAGTCTGAAGCAGATAACTTCAAAGGGAGACTTGCTTCAGAATGTTCCTTATTAGATAAAGGAAATGTAGGATAAGAAGGAATCAGCTTTTGCATCCAGCATGCAGATTTTTCACTCCTGCCTTTCGGTTTTTAATGAGGTTCATCCATCGTTCCACAGAATTTCACATTGTTCTAATGCTTTAGATTGGCAACAGCATTGTGGGAGTAAAGGTTTTTAGTTGGGGTGTCTTGAATTTATAAGCATTATGACTCACAATAACAGGTACCCCATGTCGGTTATTGGTTTGATCTTTTTAACTGTATCTCCAGTAGCCTGCATAAGCAGTGAAAAAAGATTTAACAAAACTTTATTTAAGGCTACAAAGATTATTAAATCATGTAAAAAAAAATTAGGATTTAAGGATGATAGTTTTTTTTTTATGCTGCAGCTTCCAGTTTATACAGTGTGAAGCTGCTCAGTGTCATGCTCAGATGAGAAACAGTGGTCCTTATAATTTGATTATTTTAACCTATTTCTCTTTTTTCTCTTATTTGCTAAATATTTCAATAAATTTTTGATTATAGTCTTTAATTATTTTGCTTTTGAGTCCCGAACAGATATACACAGTGTTTTAGTAACGTAAAGAGAGACAGTTTTTCACTGTTGAACTCTATTAATCTTTTACTCCCCTTCCCCCCCATTTAAGTTGACCCAAGGTTGCTTGGTTTGGTTTTTAGTGCAAAACAGAGTAACATTCTATTTGTTTTCTATTTCAAAAAAATCACTGATCACAAACGGATAACAAAACACAACTGCACTAATTGTTATTCTTTTTTTTTTTTTTTTTTTATATGTCATGCATGACAGTATTTTTTTTCTTAAATGAGTCGATGGAACCATATGTGCCCAGAGAGAGCCCCAAATGCATCTCATTACCAAGTAGCAAAATTTGTAAAACAGATGAACAACTTTGTTTGAAATGTTTTGTTCACAGATACCACATAAGAAAACAGGATAAGCATAGTAGCATAGCACTTTAGCAAAGCATCTTCAGCTGGAGTTCAGTCAGTGTAGGAATGAATTTGGACAATTTCCTAAAAAAAAAAAAAAAAAAAAACACTTTTGTGTTTTTGAAACATCCTTTGCAATTGTTCAAATTTTGAATAAGTACTTGATTTTTCTCTAAATAGGACTTAGTGGGAGGTTGCTATCTTGAATATGTTTTTGCACTGAAAAAGAGCCTTGAACAGCAGGAGCATTCCCTTTAAAAACCATTTGTTCGCTCTGTCGTATTAAAGCATCCATTAGCAGTTGGGTGATGCTCCTTTAATTAAGTCAACCAGCTAATTAAATTCCAACTCCTGGTCATAAAACCCAGCCGGTGTCTATCTATGCATCTGAAAGCTATCATCTCAGTATCTCCTGTCTTAGAGGGCTTTTACCCCCATCCTCCACCTCATAACTATCCCTCAGTTCCCATCGCTTCATCTCTCCATTGTTACATGATATGCTCTAAGAGCTGAGCAGAGGGTGGACCTCAACCCCAGCACCCTTCTCCAGGTGGCAGCAGGGATAAGCTTTCTGTCCCCTCCCCACATTTTCTCCTCCACTCCTGCAGATTTCACTACTTATCAGGCTCTTCCCGTTGTTCTAGAGGATTATCCTTCAGCAGCTCATTAGCCAGACTGGTTGCACCTCAGCTTCCTCGTTTTTTTTCTTTTTCTTCCACCAGCTCAGTTTTTCCTCATGTTTCTCACTTTTTCCGTTCGTTCTGGTTGTTGCACTTTCCAGCAAAGGTCAATGAGCTTGAACTTTTAAAGCCGGCCTATTTTGAACGTTTGTTTGTGCTTGCAGGAGGCTGAACACTCTCAACAAGTGCGCTTTAATGAGACTGGAGATCTCCCCCCAAAGAAAGAGAGTAAGTACACACGCATAACCGCTCAGACAACCTCTTTAGAAATACAATGGCATTTCCTCACCTTGACTGTCAGTTTGGTCGCTGGCCACAGGGGAGGGTTAAGTTCTCTCTCATCTTTAAAGCAGAGACACCTGTTGAATACATTTCTACATCTAGACTGCAGGGACCCTAAGGGGAGAGGGAGGAACTTCAAGGGGTCACATTAACACAACCTAATGTCTTCTGTTCTTGTACATCTGAAAAATCAAGAACAAAGCAGTTATGTAAACACATGTGAGATGTGACTGATTTTAAGTTACAAGCACAAACCTCAACGTATTTTATAGGTTGTATGTAAAGTTCCTTCACTTAAAATACAGCTGCATATTTAAAGGTGATCTGCAGTTTTTCCGAAATCTTAACTACCTTTGTACATCTGAAGACTGAAATGGTTGTTTAATATCCTATACAAAATAGCTCTGTCTTGGTCAGATTGGAAGAGAATATGAAACAACATAAATTCTCAACAGATTCACAGATTTTTAATTGCATTTTGACCTAGACCTTGACTTTTTTGCTCTAGTCACACATTTAGGGTCACAGTTCTAGTAGATGCTCATAGTCCTGTGTTTACCATGTGATCAACCCCATCCATCTTCCACTCAACTCTGACCAGCTTTCCTGTCTGAGCTGAAGGAAAGCATCCCTATGGCTTAATGTTGTAACCACAATCTTTCACAGTTGGGGTGGGGGGTGCTCAGGGGGCTGTCCAGTGTTTATTTCCTGACACACACTGACTTTTATATATAGGTCAGAAACTTTTCTTTTCTGTTGGTCACACTCCAAAACGTGAGAGGACATCTCAGCCTCTAATTTGATTAATGCCACATCTACTTGGTTGATCATTATAGCTGAATATATAGCTGTCCTTATAGGTTTGAAGATGGGCCATACCCTCTCCATTTTCATGGGATTGATATAGCAGTATCTGTGAAATAAACGCATTTGCACCAGATTTCATTTGGTGGTATCAGAATATATACGTCCACAAATAAAACACTCATAAACCTTTAAACAATGGCAGTCCACTGCTCCCCAAGGGGATGCGTTTAATGAAATGGTAAATCTGTCCTATTTGAGATCAATAAAGTTCAATTGTTTTTCATAAATTATAAATGAAAGTCTTTGTTTAGAAGTATTTAGAGACTTTGTCTTAAAAACTCCAGGACCCTCTTCAACAGAAAGTCCAGTCAGTGTTCAGTTTAAAAATCTTGACAAAAACACTGACAGTTTGTGACAGTAATTACCCAGTTTCAAATCAACCATAACAGCCTGAAGGGCTGCATAGTAACATCCTTTTTTTTTTTTTTTTTGGTGGGTGGTGGTATTCATTAGGATGACCCTCCCTGTGTCACCTTTCATTTCAGGAGCCAACAGAAAGGTAGAGGAGCCAAGGAGGCAAATAACCTCTTTGACTCCTTCTACACTTATGAGACGCTGCACCCCTCCAACCCCCCCCCACCCCCTGCCCAGACTACTTAGGAATGCATTGATCTCTTCACGTCTTCACATTCCCCGTTCCTTTAAAATCACCTCCCCGTCTCCCGAGTTTTGTGGTTTTCTGCTCCATGTTAGATTTATTGGTGGGGAGAAAATCATTTTCACTCTGCAAACTTCAAATTGGTCACTGTTGCAGCAGATGCTTTAAGTTGATGTCTGTGGATAAGATTTCTACTAAACTTTGACAAATGGCTCAGTTCTACAGAGGAGTTGCTTCTTTCTGTGTGCAACAATTCAAACATGATTATCTCTCATTTCTGCGAGTATAACTAGACACCCAAGCCATCGATATGTTGTTTGCTTTTTTAATTTATTTATTTGAGATTGCCTAGCTTAACTAAACCATCACAGAGAGGTATGTTTATGTTGAATTACACCTACAGGTATTTGGATACTTAGATCTTTTTGCTTAATTGGCCAATATCAGAGCAGCATGGCTAAATTGCTGCCTAAAAAGAAAAATCTCGATTTTTAAGCTGATTCAGTTAAAGATTATAAGCAGTTCATGTTTAACCTGCAGTATAAAACTCTCTTCTTTGTTCAGTCTAAATCCATATTAGTTGGGTTTTAAAAGATGAAGACAATGTCTAATCCAAGGAGAAGGGTAACAGACTTAATCAGACTTCCGCCATCTTAAAAATATTCCAGCATTCAAACTTTATCGCTGTTTATGCTGATTATGTTTATGCTATAACCTAAAACATACTACAACAAGCTTTCATTTTATTTGCTCTTGGTAGGTATTTACTCAATAACTAGTAGTAACAACTAGTGGGATTAATTACCTTTAATGGCTTATTTCGTATCAAATTAAAATGAATCGCCTACACGTAATAGAATTAACACAGTTTAAATATAAAGAAATCCGTGTTTGTATATAATACTAAAATATTTTTGCTTTTATACCTCTTTTTTTTACCTCAGTTTTAGATTAGACAGGGGGTGAAAAGGAAAATAGGATAAGGATAAGATAAACTTCCAAAATAATGTGATGACAGTTAAAACACTGTTTATGATCCATGGAAATTTGGGTAATTACGGTATATATCTTATCAAACAAAAGAAGCCATTAAATCTTTATTATATAATAAAAATGATCAAGTTGAACCGCACCACCATTATTTTTATTAGAAAACAGATTAGCTCAGATTTCCACTAATAAATGACCAAGTAAAGAGTTTAAAAGTAAGAGAAAAACAAATTAGATCTCTGGAAAGATGAAAGAAAGCTTGACTTATTTTCTTTAAAACAACGCCCAACTTGACTGTAGAGGCATTGTTTAAATTTATATCTTTTCTTTTTCTGTATTATGTATCTTTTAGCTATAAATGTATCTTTTAGTGATATGTTTTCAAAATTTGATGGAGGACCTGTAAATATATACTTTGACAATTATTTGGCTGACATAATTTAGCTTAACAGTAAGTCGGCAAAACTTGTCAGCTTCTGCTGTATTTTATTTATTTTTTTTAATATATTAAAGTTGAAAATGAAGCTTAGATTAGAGTTTTTAACCAAAGTAAAAGAGAAAACCTGCAAATATTTGAATTCCAGCTTTAAATATAGAATATTTGAACGTGTTTTTTTTCGATATGTATAACCCCAGAAGTGTAATTCTGTCTGGCCTGTCTTAGATCACCAACTTCATCGTGCATGTTTAACCAATATGAATTTATATTGTATGAAGATACCAAGATAACCATCTTCTAAAGCTAAGGTATAAATTGCTTATAGCCTTATTTTAAAAGCTCTAGAGTTTATTTTAAATGTGGCCCCTCAGCTTTGTGTTTGCAGATACATCAATGCTCTTTATCAGATTTTTTTTTTCTAAATGACATTCGTGGTGGATAAGTCTGTCTCTATCTGACAACGGGATGGGGGTGGTGACCCCAGTCTGGCTGGCTACATTGTGAGCTATGGGGGTCATAATGGAATTTCCTGAACTCCCTTCAGGGTCTGCGATAGATTAACTAAACTGGAGGGGGGGATATACACTTTTTTGGACCTGATGCTGCTATATTAATTGAAGCTTAGCAAAGGCACCACCTTTGTTATCTAATATGTGTTTGTCAATCAATGTGAAATTGAGTCAACTTATCATATCCTGAACTTAGATCATTGTTAGTTGATAAATCCTCTAACTTTTAGTAAAGTTTCCTGTGTTATGACAGGATTTGTCAGCGATTGTATATAATTATATTCCAGTTAGGTTAAATTTAGATGTCTTGTGGAAAAAAGAATCCATAACTCCAGATAGTTTCCTGGATTGCAGTGAGGAATGTTGTGAAAGAAATGGAAAATGTCCCCTAACCATCTACCCCTCCCGCTCCTTTATGCCCCCCTTCCTCTATGCTGCTTCCTCACTTTCATGTCCCCTCCTTTGCTTCCTATTCAGAGTGAGGATTCGGATGAGGATGAGCCTTGTGCCATCAGTGGCCGCTGGACATTCCAGAGGGACAGCAAGCGATGGTCCCGCATGGAGGAGCTGGATGTTTTTTCGTCATTCTCTACAGATGCAGCACAAAGCTCTTTTCCCAAAGACCAAGTAACCCAGAAGGGCAAGCTCACCCTGCGTGAAGGGAACAGTTCAGAGAGTGTGTTGACTGACCTCAGCGAACAGCCCGAGGTGGGCTCCATCCACAGCAGCGGGAGTGGAGGAAGAGGAGAGGAGAAGATCAATGGCGCCGCCTCTGTAAATGAGGCGGTACCTGCTGGTGCCACCAGGGCCAGCTCAGTAGCTAGCATGTGTTCATCCTCAGGCACAGGAGGATCAGCAGGCCATAATGAAGACTCTCTGTCTGATGGGTTGCCTCCGTCACCCTTGGAGACCCTCGGGCACTTCACCTTTGATGTCAAATCAGGGACAGTTGGAGGTGGTTTGGACAGAGGAGGAGATGGTGGCAAAAACACTCGTTCAAGAGCTAAAAGCTTCCTGAAGAGGATGGAGAGTTTGCGACTTCGCGGCAGCGTTTCTTCCAAGAGGAAGAAGAAGGGGAGCACTGGTTTAGGGAAAATAGAAATCAGCGGACCTGTCATGAAACAAGGCTTCGATGACGACAAACTGAGGAGGCTGAACTGCGTGGACATCTCAAGCATGAATCTAAATCACCAACACAACCCCACTCAGACCATGACTCTCAACCGGAACCGCTCTGTATCGTACTCCACTCAGACCAGCAACGGGAGCACAGGAAGTACTGGAAGCAGCCAGTCCGAGGCCAGCAGTGGCAGCGCCGTGAGCACGCCCAGTCCGGTGACTCGAGCGCGCAGTCATAGCACGGCAGCAGGTTCCAGTAAGAGAGGAGGGATGTATCTGGAAGGCTTTGATCCATTTAGCCTTCTCCAGCAGGAGGTGAATCACCAGCCGCCCATGCCCAAATCGGCACCGCCCATCCCCTGCCAGTCAAGTGATGGGATGTGCATCAATGAGCAGAACCGCAGAAACAAATGCAGAGCTCAACCCAAAAGCAGACAAGAAGAAGAAGAGGAAGAGGAGGAGGATGAAGAAGGTGGCATGATCTTCTTTTATTTGCCAGAGGGCCACAAGCCTGGAACGTTCCCCAAAGCCCTGCAGGATGGGAGTCTGCGTAACAACAACGGAAACGACAACGGGAATTCTGTGATCCTAAGGGGTCGGCAGAGCAGGCGCCAGCGCAGCGCTTCTTCAGGGTCAGTCGACAGCCGGCTTAGTTTCTACGACAACGTTCCATATGACGAAAGAGATGAGGGAGAGGAGGAGGAAGGAGACGAACACAAACTGGACGAGGTGCTTCAACATGTCACAGGCTTCGTCAATGCCTGGTCAGAGGCCGTGGCCGGTGAGGAGGAGGAAGAGGAGGATGAAGAGGAAGAGGGGGACTCGGATTCTGCTCTAGACTCTGCGTCACCATGCCCATCCTCCCCTATGCAGAACAGGCTGGAAGAGACAGAGAACGGAAGTGACCAGGACAGCACAGGAAACCCACTGGGAGATGCTGAGGATGGGATGAGGGAGCGAAGAGATTCAGGCGTGGGAGCATCTCTGACTCGAACTAGCAGGTCAGTAAAACAAACCAAGTTCTTCAAAAATAGTATTGCTTTTTCTTAACTGATATACTACATGTTGCTGACACTTAGTTACCAATAACTAAAGCGTTTTTCCAAAAAAAAAAATTGGCACTAAATAAACAGAGGAACAAGCTGAGACTTCTCCTCCTCTTACATGATGGTGCTGGGTTCTTAGGAATGCCGCCTTGTCTCCATGGGAACTGTTTCTACACTCTAGGGAATTTACCAACAGAATTACTCTTGGTTTCTTTAGGATAATCTCATAATTGCTGCATGCATACGTCTTCGTAATCCCTACAGGGATCACTCGACCACACACAGTATTTGTATACAGAGTGTGTTTTGTTTTATTTTTTTTGTTTTTTATTAAGCATTCCTGTACACACAAAAGCATGACACAAGTCCAAGGGGGTTAACTCCTTTGTCTGTTAAACACAGCTTTACGTTCTGAGTTCTCAATTTATGCCTTCCTCTTGTTTTCCAGACCGCAGAAGCTCCGCTGGCCGAGCTTCCAGAACTCTCATCGGCCAAGCCTGGCTTCAGCCCAGCTCCAGATCAGCTGCCAGTCTGTTCTGCAGATGAATCTTTTGCAGAAACTCTCCCTTCTGCAGCTCACTGCTCTGCTGGAGAAACACACTCCAACAAACAAGCATGGCTTCAGTTGGTGAGTGGCTGCACTGAAATTGATAAAGCCCTTTAGAGGAGTCTTAACTTGTTTTCTCTCTGCCTGCATCTGGTCACATTTGTTCATGTAACTTATGCCCCCACCACTCCCAGTCCCCAAAATATAATCCACTCCATACAATCCCCCCACCCGAGTCCAGTCCATCTGCAAGTTGTTGTATGGTGCTGTGACGGCTGTCCGCAGAGGTTGGGTTTCACATTCTTTTCCCAGGCCCATAATTGCTGGGAAGGGGTGCATATTGTCTTCTTTTTAACGGCGCAATTATGGCTGTTCACACGCAAGGTGCTGTGCTGGAGGCACGAAAAATCTGCCCCCTTCTTAACTTATCTTTTCCAAAATGCCCTTTAAGTTAAAAGGCTGAGGCGCATAATTCGCTTTTATAAAATATCAGTGGTGGATAAGTCTGTCTCAGACAACTGCTGCAGTTTGTTTTTTTTGTGCGTATGTTGTATTTTTTTTTTTTCTTTGTTCTGACCCATTTCAACCTAATATCTCTGTTTTTTTTTTTTTTAAAAGTCATATTAAACCTGAAAGATGAAAAATAATTTAAGGTATTAATTTAATTCTGATTTCTCTATAGAAGCTATATAATATGATTTGCAACAGGGAATGCCAGACACATTCTGTCTAGCCTTTGTCTTCTTAAAAGTTTTTTTTTTATGATAAAGGGATAACTGACAAAAAAACAGAGTTAAAAGTGAACGCTGGTTCTCATATTAGAACTCAGTGCAGTTAGCATTACATTTCTTACTTTAATTTACCTTAAGTGAGAATCTGTTAAAACAGATGGAGTAGATGCTCAAAAAAAATGGCAGCTTTAAACTGTCCTGACCTTTCTGTTATCTGCTAAAGGGTAACTCTCCTGCTGCCTCTGAGACTTGCATTAGAAAACAGAAAATAATGGGTTTCTCCTAAATATTCTTTCACAACTTCTGTACTTTTCTGGCTTTTTTTTTCTTTGTTAAACTCATTGACACTGAACATAGTTCAAATTGGGTCTTGTTCAAAAGTAACAGCAGCCAAACTGAAGACTGTTGTGGTTTATATACTCACAGGAAAAGATTTCATTTTGAAGCTTCTGACCCATTGGTTATGGGTCAGGTCTGATGAAGAGGAAAATCAGGTGATTATGGTCTCCAGCCCAGCTGTCCATGCATCTCTATAGAAAAAAAAGAGAGCCCAGGGGGCCCTAAAATGTCTTCACAGTTGGGGCGACCAATAGTGTTAGTGGTACCTTAAAATTGAAATCTAACAACGGATTCCAGGCTCCAGTTTTTATATATTTTCTGATGAAAACTTGAACGAAAGCAGTTGGGATTGTTTTCATGTTTTTCTCTCACTCGATGCCATTCTTCCTCTAGGAACAGAAGGCGTCTTGACAGTCATATGACGGGTCAGGGTCTTTCTGAAAAACAGAGTCCGATTGTTGCTCACTACATATTCAGAATTCCGTCCAAGATCATAAAAAGCTTCTTCTTTTTTGTTTTTCACAAACTGGGGTTCTCAGAAGTACTCCAGTCTTGTGAGCTGGTCCTACAAAGATATACTTGTCCTGAGTCACGCACACAGGCACTTTGCTAAACACACTTACACCCATGCAGGAACACATCCATAAATCTGTGGGCAGTTTTGCGTGAAACAAAACGGTTCTGTATGATCTGATCGTGGCTTTAGGCATGCTGGGTACAAGCATCAATATCTCTGGACACAAAGTACCAGGCACTAAAAGCAACTCCATTTAAAATCTCCATCTCACTGGACGGAAAAATGCAGAGCAGCTCACGTTAAGCTCTAAGGCGTGCTTTTGGTTATTTCTATAGAAACCTTAACTGTTTTTTTTTCTGTAAAGAGATGGGAATGTCCTTAGCTTAAATCTGAATTAATATACATTACTGTTATTTTCCTTTGTGCCATTTTATGTTTCAGGGCTGTGCCAAAGTTTATGAAGCGAATCAAAGTGCGCGACTACAAAGACCGGAACGTGTTTGGCGTGCCACTCCAGGTCATCGTCCAGCGGACTGGTCAGCCCCTCCCTCAGGGTATCCAGCAGGCCATGCGCTATTTGCGCAATCAATGTCTTGACCAGGTATGCTATTTTCACAGATGTACACTTGTAGATAGATATGTGCAAATTGTATTTTTGTTCATTAAAATCATGTTGATCAAATTTCCAATCACTATTATTTACTCTATATCAGTTTATGAACTTAGTTAAATGAGAAATATAGATCCCAAAACCTTCCCAATGTTGTTTTCCTTGCATCTTAAACATACAGCATTCATATGCCTGAATACTGTGTGGAAGAAAATGTGTAAAAGTCAAAAGGTTTTTAATACTATGTAAGGCACAGGCCATGCGTTATGGCTTTGTTTCCTTTAGTAAAAGATCAAAAGTGTGTGTGTGCATTCATGAGGGGCAGAATGGGCCTATGTGTAGAAAATAGCTGTTTAAGCACGATGGCTTTCTTCTCAAAGCAGGACAAGGCGCCTCTGTTAAGAGGTGGCAAAAGCTGCTGGAAAACACTCAGCCTGGACATTTAGTCCCCGTTTTTCTCCCAAAAGCATTTTAATGCTTTATTTTTCTAATTTTTGTTCAAGAATGCATGTTAGGAAGGGTGTCATGGAAGCGTCTGGCAAAAAACAGTCAACATTTTCTGTTGTGATGTAACTCCAATTAACTCTAAATTCCAGATTACTGGATGATTCAAGAATGTACTTATTTGTTTTTTGTTTTTTTTTACAAAGCAAATTATCCATTGAAAAGATGAGCTTAGCATGAATCACTTTAGATACACCTAATTATGAGATCAAAACATTTAAATCAGTTTTATTGCAAAGGCTGATAAGGGATTTGGACTTTAGGTTTTCTTTGTGTGCTTTGTTATAGCATAGTCATGTTCCAACCACAAACTTTAATTTAGTTCCCCACAAAGTATTGCATAGTTGGGAAGCCAGCTCAATACACTCTTATACTCTCACAGCTAATCCAGTGCAATCAGTTAAGGGCTTACTTCAGGGTTTATTTTTACTGGATGTATGATGTTCTTCTTTCTCCCTTTGCTCCTCCTCCTCCTCAAAGGTGGGCCTTTTCAGAAAATCTGGAGTTAAATCTCGCATCCAAGCTCTTCGCCAAATGAACGAGGCCAGCGGCGCCGATGGTGGAGGGGTCAGCTATGAGGGCCAGTCGGCCTATGATGTAGCTGATATGCTGAAGCAGTATTTCAGGGATTTGCCCGAGCCACTGCTCACAAGCAAGCTGTCTGAGACCTTCCTGCAGATTTATCAATGTAAGAAAACAAAAAATCAGTCTTTAAATCACATGATAGCAGTTTTCCCTCTTCTGTATGATCCTGTTTAGCAAAATGAGTCTCTTAACCTCTGGTCTCTGAAGTATTTAAATGGAATTAAGCTAATAAAGTCATACAAAAACAAAGAAATATATTATAGACTTTGTGCCTTACATAACAGATATTCAACTGTTCTGTAGCCAAAGTGGCTCCCAACACAATATCCTTATTGAATTAACCAGTTTCTGCATAAATCGATGACATGATGCAGCATGACTGCGGGTAACTGAATTAATAAGAAGATGTAACAAAAAATGCCTCCTCCTCCTTCCTGCAGACATGCCCAAAGAGCTCCGCCTCCAGGCTACCCGTGCCGCTGTGCTGCTGCTGCCAGATGAGAACAGGGAGGCGCTGCGCACACTGCTGTGCCTGCTTAGTGACGTGACGGCGTGTGTGGCTGAGAACCAGATGACGCCCACCAACCTGGCCGTGTGCTTAGCGCCGTCACTCTTCCATCTTAACACCCTGCGCCGCAAGGAGAGCTCTTCTCCCAGGTGTGTGATTCCAGACAGCCTCACTTTGTCAGATCCTAGAGAAGCCTCTAAAGTAGTAGACACCCGTTCTCTGGGAGGGTCATTAAATTGTTAATTAGTTAGTTTAATACCATATATTGCATTTATTTTGTCTCTGCAGCTCAGTCGAACAATATGGTGCATTAAGGTTACCATGCTGTTTCAAATTTATTGTATAGAAGGTTTAAAATGATATGTGCCTCTTATTGTCCAGTAGATATTAATGCAAAGCGTGTTAAATGTGGCAGCTATTTAGACAGACTATTTCAACGAAAAAGAGAAAAAAGTGGAATGGTGAAAATGACAGATGTATTGTATTGATAACACTTTAAATAGGAAATAAAACTTCCTGGGTGGGATGCGAAACATCTTCAAACTTGGAAACAAAGTCCAGTGTTTTATTTTTAACTTTTTTTTTTCTTGGAATGACTATGACCTGGATGACTGAGAGTCTTCACCACCATATTGTATTGATAAGTTTATCCTTTTAAAATATGTCAGGTTGTAAACCATGGTACTGTTTGCCTACAGATGGACTCATTAATCATCAAAAGATTAGAATGGGACAGTTTTTTGGGGGGTGGGGGGGTTGCTTTGATCTGTGATCACTTGTTCTTGTTAAATGTATTTCTATCTATTCAAATCTAACAGATATCAACAATTTCAGTTGTTTTTTTGTTGTTTTTTTTGTATGGTTGTTATTATCAAATTTTAATGAGTATTTAATGAAAATGGGGGCAGATGTTTTTTTTTTTTTTTTTTTTACTTCTTTCTGCTCCTTTTCTTTCAGTCATGATTTCATCTGTCACGTGCACAGCTTTTATTATGTTGTTTTCTTTAAATTAATGAAATGGATATATAAAAATACCTTAAAGAAATCTAGAAAACAGCCAGTTTTGCAAAAAGTCAGATGTAACGCCTGTTAAAAACGGTGATAGAGTTTCTGGCTCTAGAAGCTGTTCATGCAGCTTACCCTACACCCCAGTAACACCCTCAGCTTCCCGCACTAATCATTGCAGAACTTCTCCTGTCTACATTTTGGAGATGAATCGCATCCAAAAACTCTTATGCACATCTCTGTAGACTGTTGTAATGATGCTGGTAGGGATCTTGTTGGCGATTGACAAGCTCTCTCCATTTTTCTATTTTGGTTACATAACATTTAACATGCTTTAGGTTCTAAAAACAGGAAGAGGCCACTTCACGAAAACAAAAGGGTATAATCCTTTAGGTGGAGGGCTGAGATGGAAAGGAAGCTCGGAAAGTTTGCGTAAACCTTTTAACAAACTTATGTTGTTTCACATACAGAAACCAACATTAGCCGGTTACAGTTAGATTGTTTTTTTTCTACTCTTTCATGATGAATAACCCTTTTCTCTCTCTCTCCTGGCTTGTGACAGGGTAATGAACCGGAAGCAGACGCTGGGCAAACCTGACCAGAGGGATCTGAATGAGAACCTGGCTGCCACTCATGGACTGGCCCACATGATCCAGGACTGCAGAAAACTCTTCAGGGTCAGTTCTGCAAAACAGCAGGAAATAAACTTTAAGCTTAATTAATCTAAGATTAAAATCAATCAATCCAGGCCATTCAAACTTTAATTCATGTAGGAACTCAGAGCAATAATGAACAGCATGAGTATCCTGTTTAGTTTTAGTTTTTATTTTAGAGGAATGTTAGCATTGGCAATCACCTACAAAACATTAAAATTAAATTCTACATTTCAAAATAAACCCAAGGTCGGGTCCTAATATAGGCCCCTGAAGCACCCCACGTCCAAAAGGCATACTAGAAGAAATAAACTGTTATGGTTTTCTCTCTTAATGACAGATTACAGATTTTTTTTTTTCACAGCATGAGTTACAGTGACCCTCAATTCCAAAGTCTTTAGAGAGCAAACCTAATGTCATTGTCACATGCCTTTCATCCATGCATATGTTGTGTAAACACTCCGAGTTGTACAACTCATTCCTGCAAATCATGCTGACGTTGTGCAAGTAGCTTGGTGACGAATGTCCCGACTAACTTCATCCAGTCTAATTTATTTTGTTTATCTTCAGTTTATCCCTAAACAATTATTTGCACAGAACATACCTGTGAGAACTATATGTTCGCTCTGCAAGGTCTCAAATAATCCGATATAAAAACGTTATCTGAACCATATTCTGCCTTATACCCTCACCTCAGACATGTAAAAGCTAAAAAGGCACACACTGAGTTATCACTATAATTTAAAGCTTGATTCAATTTAGGACCAACTTCCTGCCTTCCCATCAGGCTCATATCCAGCAAGTAAACTCAATAAAGCCTCTAAATGAGGGAGGAAGCTCTCTAATTAGATTTATATTGTACGGTACTCAGAAGGAAGGACGGGTGAAATGAACATATATTTATCAAGATATGAGCTCACCTTTAAGAGGATCTTATTTATCTGCATTGTCGGGAGTTAATTTGAGCACTAAAGCTGAACAAGAATGAGAACCACAGGCCTATAAATAGAAAGAAACCATATTCTGCTTTAATTTCAGATGCTTAACCAGGTAGCGCTAATTACAAGTTCTAAAATACTACACTGTTGTAGCAGAACTTTATTTCAGCCTCTCTCAAAAGCTACTGTGGAACAAAATCTGTTACTACATCAGTTTGTTACGCCCTGACCCTGCGTTTACTGGGTTCCTCCTCTTAGATCCCCGAAGAGATGAACCGTTGCAGGAACTCCTACGTGGAGCAGGCTCTGCTGCCGCAGCGCTTTGAGGAGCTGGCTGGTGAGGAGGCAGGACAGGGGGGCTACAGAGCCTGCCTTCAGGACAGCTTGGACCAGCTCCTGAAGGAGGCCAAAGACAAGTTCAAAGGTTACGACAGCTGCTCCACGCCTGAGCATGCAGAGCTGGCCTACAGGAAGGTAAGCCCACACAATTAACCTATGAAAATCCTGAAAAATAAAGAAAGATGAGTTATTTTGTCTGAGGTGTGTAAACAAGCTGCCACCTCTGTTTCCTTTCGCCTTCCCGTTCGCCTTGCAACTTTAAATAGTGAGTGGAAAAACAGCAGTTAGGGTTTCCTGTCTAGAAAGGAATCCGTGTGAAAACGGCTGTGCTCTTGGCTTCTCGCTACCATCCCATCTGCTCTGGACTCTGTCCCAGAATGACATCAGCCTCAGCACCCAACACACACAAACACAACTTTTTCATTCTCCTAGGCCTGCGTTTCCTGTGCTGAACATGCTTAAAGGCCTGGGTAGGCTTATCTTTTCTCCAGTTTGAAAGTCGCAGCAGCACAGCAGCTGCATGTTTTACTCTCAGATGGAAAATGATTGACACTGGATTTCCACTCTCACCTTTTCACCTTTTGTATCTTAGCAACCACAAACTTCAATTTTTTATTTATTTCTGTGATTGACCGACTCAAAGTAGGACAAGACAGAAGTGAAAAAGGAAAAATTCAGGGTCTTTAAAATTTTATATAAATAGGTGAAATATGCTCATTCCTATTTACTATCAAATCATCACCAGAAGATTAAAACACTATGGCTTTAATCAGAGAAGCAACCCAGAAGGCCATGATATATCTAGGGGATCTTTACCTACAGCTTTGATTAAATAATTATCTGACAAGAAAACGTTAAGATGTGCTCAACAACCTTGACCTCTATAGGAAAGTGGCAAAGAAAGCTTTTGTTAAAAGACATTGAAAAATCCTGCTTGCAGTTTGACTGACATCATGTAGCGAATCTGGATAGCTGAGAAAAAACATTAAGGGATTCTGCACACAAGCAGAAGGTTGTGCCTTCAAAACAAGATAAAACAAAAAGAATCACCCTGTACTATTCCTATGGTGAAACATGGTGGTGAAACATCATGCCGTGGGGAAGCTGCTTAGAGTTGAGGGAGTTAAAGAAAACACAAAGGCTGTGTTTAGACTTTAGTGGGGGCTTTGAACAAACAGGAGAATTACCTAAATATTAGGGATTTTCTGATCTGATATGAATATCGGATATTGGTCTGATATTAGCCCAAAAACCACTATCCGAATATCCGATTTTATCGGCCAGCATCTTTTCATGCTGATAGTAGTAGATTATGGTAGATTTGTTGTTGATTACGGTTCTCTGTTCACTTGATAAAGCTTTTCTAACATTATACAGTATAAATTAAGTCATAAAAGTATGCATAATTCATGTTAATATTGGTATTTTAGCTTATTTTTCAAAATGGCATTGTATCGGAAACTGGATCAGGACATCCCTACTTGACAGCTAGAGCTATCAATGATTGGTTTAGATCGAAGCATATCCATCTGGTAGAATACTGCTAATAACGTCTGTACCTGCCTCTCTTATTTATTGTGAATTGGCTATGTGCAGTCTTTTAATTTTAAAACCTACAGAGAAATATAACAAAGGCTTTCCATCTGTAAAGGTAGAGAGGTGGTTTTTACAAACTATGGTTCCAAGGAGGCTACAGACAGACAATTGATTCCTACTTTTCAGATTCTTTATCTGTTAAAAATAGAAAACCACGTGTCATCTGTTGGTTTACCACATGAAATACAAAGGAAACATTTCTAGCTTGTGGTTGAAGTATGCCAATAAACTGAAGAGCTGAATGCTGTTAGAAGTCACTGTATGTTTGCTAACAAGTAGATAGAAGATCCATCATAAATGACTGGGTGTTCTTGGTGTAATGTCATCTGGCCTTTTCCTGTAGGTGCACGATGGATTTCCACTCAGACTCTGGAAAGTAACAGTAGAGATTCCAGCAAGTCCCGATGAGGTTCTGACACGAGTACTACGAGAGCAAGGGCATTGGGATGAGGACCTACTGGAAAGCAGAGTGGTGGAGACCCTGGATGAGCGGACGGAGATCTACCAGTATGTCCGAAACGCCATGGCACCACATCCCACTAGAGACCACCTGGTGCTAAGGTAGACTCTTTTCTCCTCATCGTGGGTTCTCTTGCTATTTTGTTGTTCCTGTTTCAGTGCATCTCTGCTTTCTTAATATTGTCAATTAATTAATAGTATCTTGATGCTTGTTAACAGAACATGGATCACAGACCTGCCGAAGGGTGCGTGCGCACTTGTTTCTACGTCTGTGGACCATGAAGGGGTTCCAGTGGTGGGTGTCCGTGCCAATGTGCTCACCTCACGCTACTATGTAGAACCCTGTGGAGCCAACAAATCCAGACTCACGCACATTTCCAGAATCGACCTCAGGTTGGTGAATTGCACAGAACCCAGGATGAATGTAGCTAGAGGAGTTTTGCAAGCTAACAAAGAATCCAAATCAATTCCTGAGGGGCGGACCCATTCTTCTGGTTCAATTTGCATGTTTTCTAAGCCAAAACAAGTTTTTTTCAACACTAATTCTGACATTTTGAACTGAAAAATCTTGAAAAACTTGAAAACAGAGTCCAGTGGATTGTTTTTGTTTTTTTTTTTACTTTTTTTGGAAAGTAGCTAGACGATAGAGACAGACAGCCTATTTGATCCATATTGATTTGGTGAATTCAATCCAACATCTTACTACTTTATTCCAAAAACACTTGCATGTAGTTTGATGGGCTTTATGAGTTGAGTGCAAATCAGATCAATTTGATTGGCATGAATTTACGTAATGGCTTTAATAGAATGCTTTCACATCTGATGTATTTGGATCTGCTACCCCTATCAAGGAGCATGCCACTTATTTATTCCTGATTCATGCACTATATTGACATGATAAAATAATTTTAAAAAGCTGCATCTTATAACTAGAAAATAAATATGCAAACATTTCATAAAGTTGAATCCTCCTAAGACCATCTCTATTTCTCCTTTTTCAGGGGTCGTTTTCCAGAGTGGTACAACAAACTCCACGGACAGTTGTGTGCCGCTGAGGTGGCAAGAATAAGAGACTCCTTTACGGTTTCCATGGACAAATAAGCAGGAAGGATGCAATTCGGACCAAAACAGATTCTTGGACTGCAAAAAATACTCAAGGAGCAGTCAGACTGTCATTATTTCCACAAACAAAAGACAAAGTTTGTAACCTGGTTTCAAGGACTTGCTTGTCCCGGGTCGAAAGAGTTAACTGATCGTGTTGGGACTGCTGAAAAGGATTCGCACACAGATTTAACTTTTTGTTGTCAGTTCAAGACATGTGGTTTAGACTTTATCTAAAGGGATGATACTGCTTCTGAGAAGCAAAGAAGATTCAAGGTATGCATGAACTTGTGTGTGCGGGATGTGTTCAAAGCAGCAAATGGTGAATGCATATTTACTCATGTCGGTTTACAGGCAGAAGAAACCGTGTACATACAAACTATTTTGGGTCAGAAAAGTAGCTTTGACCATCCACCTCATGCTACCTCTGACCAACATTTCTGTTACAGCAAAGCACAGGAGGAGCGGTAGACGTTATTATAGAGAGCTGCTGAATGAATCTGTGGGTGAAGAAAGATGCAAATCCACAGACTGAGTTGGAACAATAGATAGGATATGGTGAGATGACAGGTGGGCGATTGCAAGCAGGGTTTTAGTGTTTAGATGTAGACAGAGGAGGGCTGGTGGCTGGCTCACCAAAATGAAAGGACTGATCAGTCAGGGCCTCATTCACTGACAGATAAAAGTCACTCCAATCCCTACAGAAGGATTTGAATGAGTCAGGGGTTTTATATAGAAGCCGATTTTTGTTTGCAAAGATCCAACCGATGGGTTTAGCCTCCAAGCTAGTGCCAAAAGCCAGATCTTTAGCGACTTTACAGAGAACAGCAGGGAAATAAAAACCAGGTGTAATGGACCAAATGGAGAAAAAGCTGAAAGCTAAACCTAGAAGGTGTCAATGTTCGTTTTAGTCTCAAACACGTCACTGTTTTGTTGATTGAATTACGGTTTGTTGTTTGCATTTCTGTTTTATTAAAATATATTACATACTATACATATTCAATACTTTGTGCACAAAAGAACAGAAGACACTGTTCAAACCTGCAACATAAACCTCCAGCTACAAGAAAAGATGAGAGAAAAAAGCCCTTTTATAAAGGCGGGGATTTTACAGGTTTTACTGTAAAGAGGGGAGAATGAATGTGTTTTTCTATAGAAGGATACAAATCTTTTTGCGTAAGCGTCTATCTCTCTTATCTCACAGTGTTTAAAAAGTAATTATATAGAGTTGGGTCCACGTAACTTCTAGCTTTGACGCTCTTCTATCACAGACTGTTCATGTGGAGTGTGTAATTAATTCACTAAGCCATTTGTTTATATTCTACAAGTTTATACCTGTAACAGTGTCTCTGCCAAAATATAACGCATGACAATGACAGTTAATTTAAAGTAAATATATTTATACCTCAGATATGTTTTGTTTTGTATCATTTGTTATTTTATTGTACATGGTAAGCTTTGTGTTACAGATAATGTGTTTTATCTTTTTTATTAATATTATTGCTGTACAGGTTAATCAAAGTGCACTATTAAATGTATTAAAATATTAGCTTTGTTTATTTATTAATTTTTTTTCACAAAAATATTTCTAAAACTTTCAACATGACCTTGGTTTTTCCCACACCTCCCTCTCTAAAACGCTGTGGTCACTCATTTGGATCGAGTTCGTCCCAACTGCAGCTTTTCCCCTCATCCTGACCCTAACCACCGTAAATCTCAACTGATTTGACTTCATTCCACACGAGTAAATCTTTGATGGAACTAGAAAAGCCAGGAGGATAATGATCTCACTGCTAATTATTATTCTTAAACATGTTTCTGTTATCACAACACTGTGGGGTCTACTGTTCTGTAGCAAAGAAGTTTAATAGGAGTCACGAGGCAAAGACAAGGGAGCCTCTAGGTGTGAGCAGGCACTTTATTATTTTATTAACCTATTGGAAAAGAGCAACTTAATATAAATGATCTATTTTATCTGGACACTGCATCTTTAAATCTGAAAAACCGAGGATTGCGGTAGATCTAAAGATTATTTTTTATTGTCTTTAAATGTGATACCATAGAATATAATTTAATTTGCCTTACTGGTGGCCATGTTTACTAGTATCCGTATTGAAAAAGAGAAAGCGAAAGAAATGGCTAAGATAGAAATAAGCTAAAACTGAATTTCAGCTTGATTATTCTGTTTACATCCCAGCCTGCATTCGGTCTGCAGCAAAGCTTGACCTTGGGATGTCCGAAAAGCAGCTTTCTTGCCATTGCTCTAAAAGTTGTGGTATGATTTTATTAGTAGCCTTCTTAATCAGGTTACACACAGCCACAGGGTGTGCAATGCCCTGGCCACCCCGCTGACCAACCCACTTGCCAGTGTAAATTGTAGTAGCATCAGGTTAGCATTTCATTCCAATATGCTCAGTCAGCGACATAACATTAAAAAAATCACACAATAAACCAAGATATGAGTGGGTGTTTACTTATATCTTTATATCTTCAGACAGGTTTACCATAATAGTAGATTGAAACCCTGAAATTATGGCTTTTAGTTTCATTGTGCCACCCCAAGATTTTTAGTGGCCCCATCTGGTCACCCCTATGAAACATTTCTGGAGGCGCCACTGCACACAGCATCATGTTTGGTAAGGGTTTTGTCATTATCAGTATCATAGTGACAACTAAAATTAACAAATTGTCCTTCTGCGTGACTTTTGAATTGAATCAGTTTGTATTATGTAAACATCTACAGACAGTGCTGTACTCCCCCTTGACTGTTTTCCCCCCTTGGGCTTGAGTATGTGTCCACCCCCAACCCTCCGCCCCAAGTGGTCCAAACACCTCACAGAGATTATGCAGCTCCAGATAAGCAGGAGTCAGCGCCAAGGCTGCATTCCCACCCTGCTGTTTGAGAATCCACCACAGGAAGGTTCCCACATTGATAAATACTTATGAATGTGTGCATTCTTCAGTCTGTGCTGCTTTTCCTGTAGTTTGAGCTTTCGTGTTTTAAATCAGAGAGCAAAAGTGACTGATTTATTTATCCTCTGTTTATATATTTTTGTGAACACACACACACACACAAAATGATTTCAACAGACGTGTGTACAAGATTTCCCCTTCTAATGTGAGCTTTGGGTCAGAAAGATCAGACATATAGGTTTGATGCATGAAAGTTGGACAAAATAGCAAAAAAAAAAAAAAAAGAAATATGAGCACATATGCATTTCCATGACACTTTGAATCTGAAAAAGGTGGCAAATCATGACTTGTTCCATATCCATAGACATTCTGATGGATGAGCTGTAGTAGTGTTGTGGCAACAGGAACGGTATGCCATTGTGATAAGGCTATATTTTAAGAGTCAACACAGGAATTCATTAAATTTCATTCCAGTGTTTGCAGTGTTGGACTCATGGCTCCATGTTTCAGACATTTCCAAAGGTGGAAAGTGTCTGTGCTAAGGAAGATGGATCTGTTTGGCCCCCCACAAAAAAAGACTATATATCAGTGTATCAACAACAACAACAACAAAAAAAACACCTTCACATTAGAGTGAAAAGTTCACTATTATTGCTTCCTTGCTGGTCAAACGATGCATGTTCAGCTCTACGTCTAACAGAGAATATGCAGTTGGAAAGAGGGATAATTATGCATAGATAAAAAAGCAATGGAAAGGAAAACAACAACCAAAATTTTTTTTAATAAATAAGTAGCTATCTACTGTAACTTGAGAAATGTTTGGAAGGTTACATGGCTGTCCAAGAATCAAAATTTTTCCTTGACAAAATGAATTATTTTTATGAAAAAAAAAATGATATAACAAGCTTAAAAGCTTTCTCTTTATTTTTGTTTCAAGAAAAACAAATCTGAGTTACTGACCTGATGTTACATGCTACGGTATATTTTTTACACAGCTCAACACTGCCCTCTTGTGGTTAAGATATCTCAAAAGATAATTTTATTTGTTCAGGAGAGCACAAGTGTATTGTAAGGAAATAATAGACCACTAGATGGAAGAATCTCTCCATAACCAAGGTCTCCAGTGCTAGACATCACGTATCAGATGCTACATAAAACTCTACCACACAATTATTGATGATTATCGCAAATATAGCTATTAATTCTTGTGTTCCTTTACACATCCCAAAATTTAAGGGAGTTTAGGAGTAATTGTATTTCTGTTATGAGACTCTCATTGTTTTTAAGAATAAGCTCTACATAATGTATCATGCTTCTTAGAGTTAATCACTTGCAAGTCTTAAATATTTGATATAGACTGACCACTAATTAAATTTGATTTGACTTAGTTTATATATATATATATATATATATATATATATATATATATATATATATATATATATATATATATATATATATATATATATATATATATATATATATATATATATATATGAGAGAGAGAGAGAGAGAGAGAGAGAGAGAGAGAAAGAGAGAGTGCAAATTCACTAAATGTCATCTCAGAATCCGTTCCTCCTGGGTGAGCATGTAACAACAGTAGACATTTGTTTGGATAATGTTGTTGACACTGTAGCAATCCCTCATACATTCGAGAGTGGAGAGGAGATAACTCCGCTTATACAGTGGGAAGTCTAGGCGACAAACAGGACCATACACTTAAAAACAGGTCCAAGTCTATCATCAGTCATCAGCAGTTTTTGATGGCAGCAACCCAACTGATCCCTCCCTCCAGGATGGTGTTACATAAAAACTGCTAAACCTTGTTTTTGTTTATTTATTTTTTTCACCAGGAAAGACTTCCATGATTTTCAAGCGGACCACCCATTTGCAGTAATACAAGAATATGACCCAAAAATGTATATACCTCTGGCTGCATGAGATCAGTTGAATATTAAAAACCCTTCCCTTTATGATGTCATATGGGGAAATAAGCTTTACAGAGCAGCGTGTATGTCATCGGTCAAGCTACAGCCTTTATCTAATCAATTGTTCAGGGCTCCAAGTCGCTAATTTTACTAAGTCTTCCTGGTTGTCCTGGTTACGGGTTGTGGGGGCACGGCCTTATGGATGACAGAAGCATGTAAAGCCAAAACACCTTGTCCAAAGGAGAGCTGAATAAGGAGATTTTTGTTAAGGTCTGCTAATCTGAGATGATTTTTTTCTGCAAAAACAGCAAAATCATGCTCTGGGAGCCTCAGTGTTAACAGTTTTTATTGTCAAATGTAGCAAAATATGGGACTATTAACTAAAGAGCTAGATGCTCAGAGGCTTTAGTATCTCTCCATGCTTTGTTGTTGATCTGTTTTGTTTTTCGGCTTGTATATAAACAAAATTGCAGTACCACTTCAAACAAAGTGCTTTTAAATGGCATGCTTCTTTTTACTTCCATTGTCACAACTTAGATGTTCTCCCCTATTTTGGTGAACTTTTGCCAGCCAATCATGTTTCCATTCTTCTACTAAATAAAGCTGTGCCTCAGTTGAGTTTGTTCTGAAAACTGTATTTTATTATACTTTTCAATAATAGCAGTGAAATAAAAGGAAATAAAATGCTCGATTCAGTACCCATTAGCACACATTCAGTCTGTTGCAATATAGCAGTTTATTTGGTCTTTCATTGTTTAAATATAACAAGATGGCAACTGAGAGAGATGCACTGCTGGAATATACCCATGGGAACAAAGAGAACAGGTTTATAAAAATACATACAAACTTGTCTATACGTGCAAATATCACAATCTTTGTATAAATGCATACACACAAACCCCATCACAAAAGAAAAAAAAAGAGAAATTAACTTTGGAGACAGGGATGGGGAAGAGATAAACATTATCTGACATCATCTGATCTTAATCAAGTTCTGACCCCACAATGATCAATGACAGGTTTTCAAACCATTCTTCCTGACTTTTAAGAGATAACTTTATCTTTTACATCCCTAGGTGTTTCAAGATTTCATACCTTAGTTGTAAATGTGATGGAACTCTTTTTTTCTTCCAGTTTAGCAAAATCATTCTTCATGCCGCACATATCATGACTTCTTTCTACTACTGGAGCTTCCTTTTGTTTTTCATACATTGTGCATAATCAATTCCAAGGTAATGCAATTCATAAATACTTTTTTTAAACATCAAATTTATGTTAAATGCTGTAGCTCAAATAAAAGATATGTAAACTAGAAATAATGAATTTATTCCTATCATTACCATTAAACATTAAACTGGATTTTTCTTATAGAATAACTATAAGAATAATTATTCTATAAGTATTTTTTGGTTCTTCTATATAGTTCCCAAAGATTGTCATCTTTGGGAATTTAAGATTTTACTTTTTCCATTTTTAACAATGCAAAATGTAAATCAAGCCCTTATGCACTCTATAAAGTGCCTTGAGATGACACATGTTTTGAATTGGTGTTATATAAATAAACTGAATTGAATTGAATAAATGAGAACCTTCTTCCTTTGTGAAAAACCTACTTGTCGGAGTCTAGCTTTTCAAAAAAAGAAGGCACATTTACACCTGGACAATGACAAACACATATAATAAATACAAGTTATATATAAAAAAT